ATAGTTAATAAAAAATAAAATTTCACGAGTTACAGGACCTACCTTAGGGTCTCCATATTCACGTATTAAAGTATGAAACTATTTGAGACACCTAGTTCGTAGGAAAGTTTTATGAACGATTGAGCTTTCGGATGCCACTTTCACGTCCCCTTAAGTAATCCTAATCACGGTCTCCAGCCGATACTTGGCCTCCCGCACTACAAGAGAATAGATAAGACATATCTGAAAGACTCATAGTTTTTAAGGGAGCGGTGGACTCGAATCCGCACAAGCTCGCCTTTGCGAAGGATTTGAGCTTTCGCGGATTGTAGCTCGAAGCTCCCCAAGCTGGCTCGGCCTCGTCCCTCATCGATTTTCTAATGATCCTAATGGCGGCGCCACTTTCACCCTCGTCGAGGAGAGCCAGGGAGACCCTGAGCGACGACTGCCAACCCCTTGCGTTTACGTACCTCTGCCATCCCCCACCACCCCCGGAAAGCTTGCGGAACTCTTGCGTAATTTTCTCCTCACCTTGACACCCTTGAAATCGCCCGTTCGCTACACATGCCCTCGTCCGACTGCGGTTTGTGTGGTACGACTGAGGCTTTACGCGGCGAGAAGTGGCGAATCCTCGAAGAGCCTCGAGATGTGCATCCTGCATCTCGTGCACCCGAGGTCGTTGCATTTTCATAGGGACATTGCGTAAATGCAAAGGATTCAGAAGTCTCCACAGAAGCCCAGAAGGATAGGGACGTTCGATGCTAGATAGTACGTCAGCCAACGGGTGGCGGCGCTGTGATCATCTCTCCAGCACTCTTAACCCCTTAACGCACAGATTTAAAAAAAAAACCGGCCAAAAAAAATCAATTTCTTTTAATGTAAAAAAAACACTAGAACATTGTCTTGGCAAAAAAAATATAATTCTCGATTTTATTCAATTTCAAATAGGTCGACACAGTTAACTGGTTAAGAAAAGAACGCTAAACGTTGTAGATCGACGTACGGAGGTTGCGGAAGATTTCAGTAAACGCGGAATTTGTCAAACTTGAAACCATCAAAAACGGATTTGCAGAAAAAGCGCGCATTACTTGCTAATGCCGAGATGCACTCCACGTTGACAATTACACTCCACGTGTCAATTTCTGTAGAGATGTCATAAAGAGATCGGGGTAAAGCGCAAGAAGTCCTCTGGATTCATGATTTTTGACACACATATCAGCTATGTGTATTATGTGTATTATCAGACATGTACCGTCATGACACGTCGGGATTTCTTCAGTCGCCCTTTATGGACTCTCCTGGTAGATATTTTAATTGCCTCCCGGCATCGTTTCGATAACGGAGTGAATATTCATCGCGTGTGGTAAGGGCGTACAGGTAATGGAATTCTACAGAGCACAATGAACAATTGTTCCGTATTATTGCGCTTGCATTCGATTTCATGCGCTCCGAATTGCCCGCGCTAGGCTTCCATTAACTGGCCCCGCGTATTCGAAATTGCTCGTTATAATACTCCACCGGTTGATTGATTAATTCGTGCCTCAGGTGAGAACAAGAGTGCTCTATGCATCGTTAAATACATTCCCTCTCGTAGGCGGGACCGTCAACACCCGATGGATAGTTCCACGGTTCTCTATTAACCCTTTGAGGTACGGTGGTATTAAGGGGGAACCCCACTGTGACGGCCGGAATAATTTAACCGATTTTCACGAATTTTTTTCAAACGTTTAATTAATTATTAAGATATGAAAAATTTAAAGTATTAATTTTAAGATAATTTATAACTGTTAATATGAGTGACTTATTATGTTTAAGGGCACAACCATGCTACAAAGAAGAAAGAGTGTAGGAGTTCCTCTAGCTCAAGAACTAAACAATGCAGAAATCAGGTCAGATTCTGCGAGTCCTAGACGCAGATTATCCATAATACAGGGGGAATCATCCGTTACTTTGGGAGTGAACGACGATGCAGCCGAAAGACTTTTACTAAGAAACGGAGCCCAACATACTCCATCGGTGAACTCCGATAGAAGGAGATCTCTAGGACTGACATTAATCGCTCAAATGTCATCGACAGAAATGACTGATCGTATCACTCAGTGCATTAAGCTCAGCAGCGAGAATAAGATCAATACTAAAAATGCATTTAGTTTGAAAATGATCGACGTCATGACGTATATGATTAAGAAAAATGATTCCAGTATGGATGATCTGCAAGTGGCTTCTACGACGTTAGATGTAAGCACAAAAATCTACGGGTTTCGAGTTGACAACGTTCATGCAGGCATTTTAAAGATGACCGGATGCTTAGGAAAACAAGATGAAAATGATAAGTCATTGGACGATGATACTAATAATAATAATAATGATGATAAACCAGAAAGCGAAGATGTAGTTCAAAAGACGAAACGAAAGAACAAAAGAGAAAAGAGAAACATAATAGCCACGGTAGAAGCACTTCGAGGGAACGAAGAAGGAGCCAGTCAGATGGTCCTCATTAATTCAGAAGGAACCGATACACAAACTACCGATACATTGTATCAAACGGTATTAGCACACCGTACCGATGTTGAATATTTCCTTCAACTTCATTGTACTGACATATTACAGACACTTCCTAAGGAACCCGTGAATGAGGATGATTTCGAAGTACCATCGATAATAATTGGGGACTTATCAAATTTAGATTTAAATCCAACACTTGAAGACTTACAATTGAACGATAATAATGACAAAAACGAATCACAAGTTCAGGAAAACGAGAGTCAATATCATTTCGACATAAACGCTTCAATTCACGATGAACCTGACAACGCTAGACCTACCTTCTTTGATATGGATATGGAAGAAAATGAAGCGACTATAGATAGATGTAATCAACAACGAAAACAATTTGAAAATATTGTTGATTTTCAGGAGGTTCTTACAGCTCCTATAAGCACTAAACAATTAGAGTATTCATACATTCAAAAAGGAATTATCAAAAATTGGGCTGGACCAGTGTTTTGGAAATATCAAGCGCCTAAGTATGCGAATTCAAGTGTGGGTAGCAGAGTAGTTGAAGCATGTCGTCAGGGAGCAGTTAAGAAGAAGAAAGAAATAGTATTAGAAGAAAACAGTGAAATACAAAATAAATGTAAGGAAATGTTTAAACAAGGAAAAAGTACTAAACTGCAATTAAAAACCTTGAAGCAATATTGGCAGAAAGAAAAAGTAATTTATCCAGAAGACATACATTATGACATTTTAAATCTGTGCAAATTGTACCATTACCCTTCGTTGACATTTTCTTATCAAAACCATGATAACGTTGACACATCTCAATTAAATGACGAAGAAGAGCAAGTGTATAATTATAACAATGAACACGACAGGTCAAGTTACTGTCCTCTTGCTAATACCGACAACGAAGGCGACACTAATGAGTGTGACGAGTTTAGTCCTGCACAGGACACCGAGCCATGTTCCACGTCTTTAACGGGGGACAACCTTGTAACTGCTCCCAGACTACCAGAAAATGTATGCATCAAATATGCATTGAAATCGAAAAATATTGATATGCGTCAACTGAAGCATGGCATCTGGAAATGCTTGACAAAAGAATTTGAGAAGGAAAGTATCGATCCCGAAGAAGCTGAGAAAGAAAACGCAAATTCGGGAAATAAAAACAGGCAGGCACAATTCAGTTCAGTTTATCGTCAACTGCTCAAAGTGATGTCCAAAGACATTGTAGAAGACCTCAGTACCCCTCTCGTCTATGTTTCTATGTTACATCTAGCCAATGAAAAGAATTTGTGTATACAATCCACCGAAGACAGGTCCAATTTTATCATATCCGAAGATACAAGGACTTAGTGTTTCTGACTACGTTCTCTTCATTCCCACATGAAATGGATGACTCGGTATCAAGTGCGATGACAACTTCCTAGATAACAAACATGTCACGTCGAGTACTTGAAGATTAGAAGAAATCTGCTTCATGTAAGACTGTCGATTCCTAATTTCAATTTTTGTACGGTATCTTAACGATATGATTTCAGATACTTTTGGTAATTATGAAAACCGTATTTTTCCACTTTTCTACGTTACATAAAGCGACGCCACTTTGTTAAACTACCATTGTCAGGGTGTGGACGAAAGTTCATGACACCTATACGAAATAAATAGCCGATGAATGAAAGAACTTCCAGGGACTCACCTGATGCTCCATGAGGTAACTGTCGGTCTGAAACTTGGTGGGTAAGTCCAGAAAAATAGCAGATCTTGTTCGTGCGTAGAGATCGACGTCGACGTAGACATCGAAGAGAGGTGCACCGTTCAATCTGAGCAAGCCGGATATAAGAGGGGTGATATCCGTCGGTGCCAAACTCTTCGGAGGCAAATATCCACCAAGTTGGTTCAACGTCCGATACACTGTAATAAGAGGTAACAAGAAATATTTAGAACACTGTTGCAGTTATTAAGAAACTCGGTAGAGTTTCGCGCCAAATATGTATAAGCGTGAAACAAGTCATTGTCTGCGATGTTTAGCTTGGCGTGTCAAAATGGACAGAGAATGTCATATTGTGAACCCCTTGAATGAGTAATGTCAACTTTCATCAGGTCGTCGAGATTGGACTATTTTTCTGCGTTTTTTGAGCTATGAACGGAACCGATTGATACACTTAATACAGAGCTATGCAATTTTCAATATTTCACTTCGCTTGGATTCCATAATGTTAAGGTGATATGAAAGAGTCAGATATATATATATATAAATTGAATTCATTTATCACGGACTAGAACCAACATGGCGTAGTCCGTGCACGTTTTCGATGTTTCACGCTTCTTGGAGGCTTAGAATAGAAAATTAAGAGTTTCAGGACCTAGCTCGAACAATTTAGAATACCGTAGAAGTGGAATATCACAGAGTCAGAAGGGAAAATATGAAAAATAATTCCCCCAACAATTGCAAGGCTTGTCGCGTGGCTGACACGTGTTTCTAGAACATAAATTTAGTTACAGCTAAACGTCACAGATGGCGACGTTAGACCTAAACAGTCGTTAGAATAATGAATTCCCGGGATTTCGACAGTTTTACGCCGATCTCTTTATCATTACTTTATCATTACTTTACCGAAATGACACGTGGAACGCTTCATTGCGTATAATTCTAAACGTAGACTGCAAAAGACTTCAACATAAATATAAATGTAGATAGCGTGACGCGCCAGCTTATGTTACTATTTGAATATTCAAACCGGCGTTCCCACTAGAAAGGACATAGATGAATTTCATTTTACCGACATCGATTAAATTTCTCAGCGCCTTTCATATCACATTAATCGACTATTAACACGAGTGCCAATTTCCGCCGTCTAGGTAGCCTGCTCAACACGCATCGGTATCAACAGAAACTCCTCGGCAACTCCATAGTTGGACCAGGACACCGTTCAGCTTCTCACCATTAATTTGCCGTCCGAAACCCCCAAGATTCTCCATTTCCTATCATCTCGATGGGGAATATACCCTAAAAGCTGCATCTCTCTAATGGGCGACAGAAAGGCGATGAGGTAGAAACGGAACCCGCCGATAACCGGGGACCCAATTGGGAACTGGAAGAAACTTCCTAATTTCGATTCTCAAATCTCGCAGAGTCGTACCAGCGATTAGGGTGAACGATAAACGAATCCGTTGACCGAATTCCTTCGCTTAGATTCAAGCAACTTGTTCGGCGTAACGTGTCGGAGCCCGGTGCAACTTCTTTTAAAGCAATCGACCCAATTAAGTAACCTGCTCCAAGTGCCAAATATTTGAGAGCTAGGAGGAAGATCAGGGCACGGTCGCGTTAGATATGCCTGGCTGCCTTTAAGTGTTCAAATTTATTTAACCCAAATGATTAAGTACATCTTGTATTTGCCGAGGACCTTCTTGCGGTGAACCGTGACATTGCTAAATGTCCTCCCTCACGGTCGTTAATCCTAGCAAGGGGTGCTCTCTCTTTTTCTTCAAATGGTACCCGGAAGGAAGGCAATTTTCACCCTAATCGATCGGCCTTGAGTCCTAGAGATTACTCAGCCGAATGGCCGCGACTTCTGATTTTTCCCCATTCAGAAGGAAATCGCTCTTATTATAAATGATTTATCGTGGAATAAAACCTTCCCAGTGGTCGGTTCAATCGTTTCAGGAAAAGCGGCCATTCGTTTACGTACCTTCGCCTTAATTGTTTCATGTTTTATCGTGATGGAATCTACAGGATGGAATGAATAGGCTCCAAAGTGATAACATGCACTGGGCAATCAAAGTCGAGCATAACTGCCTTCTGGAATAATCCATTAATATTCTAGCGAGAGCAAACGGTCAATTGGATAATTAACGATCTCTTTGCGAGCTGTCCGCGGTCCAAGTCTCTACATACAAGTGTTTAAATTATCGCCTAATTTAACATAACTCCATAGATATCCCGTCCGGTTCGATTAAGCGATTAGAGGGGATTTTCGTTGGCCATGGCACTTTGCCAACGACAAAGTTCATAAGAAAGGAGTGTAGCCGGTGGTAATCAGTGACTTTGGCGGAACGCCATTGGCAAAAATCCCTCCTGAATATTATTCAAATTCCACCCAACAATATATCCCAATTCTCGTCAAGGAACTCCTCCATCAGCGCTTTGACGGAAAAATTGACGACGATAGCCGAGATATTTTTTTTTCTCAAAAATAAAAATAACCCAGTTGGAGTTCAACACGACCGACACGTGTCACGACCCTCGACGTGTTAACAATAGTTGACGTATATAGATATTAAGGTGAAGTGTGAAACCCCTCCTCATATCAGTCGATTTGAATAAGACACTTTTTTTCTTTTTAAGAGTATTGCATCGAACCATCCGAAACTTTGACACACGACTCGCGATCACCTAGGAATTATCCTGATACTCTAAAAATGTAGATTTTCGAAAAAAAAAAAGAACTGGCCTAGACCACAACTAAAATGGCGTCGAGCTCTCGTATTTCAATCGGTATACAAGTCTTCATGGCTCTGACATGAGAAAGGAAGGCGTCAGGACAATTGTACAACAATTTAGAATACTCCAGTAATCGCGAAACTCGCATTTGAACAGGATAAAGGCAAAAAAAGCGCTGCTATGCTAAAACGATGGTAATATGCGGAAGGTCCTGAGACTCATAAAATTACAATTCTTTTCAAATTCGTTTATAGGTATTTTAAAAATAGTTTAAAAAAAATGAAATTTCACGAGTTTCAGGACCTACCTTAGGGTCTCCATATTCACGTATTAAAGTATGAAGCGATTTGAGACACTCAGTTCTATGAAAAGTTTTATGAACGACTGAGTTTTCGGATGCCACTTTCACATCCCCTTAAGGTGATGTGAAAGTGGCGTCGAAGGGGTATTGTTTATAAAACTTTTCTCCCAACTCGGTTTACCGATTAGTTCGAAACCTTACAACGTGAATAGGGAGACTATAAGGAAGGTCCTGAAACTCATGAAATTTCAATTCCTTTCAAATTCGTTTATGGACATTTTAAAAATNTTCTATGCTATTAGGGTTGGCTGTATCGCGTTCAGATGCGTCTAAATCCGGAGTCTTCAAGAATTGGACAATAAAAGTTATTCCCTTTTTAGAAAACTCCAAACTTTGAAGCTGCCAAGATCTTCATTAAGCATTTACGAGTCATGTTGTGAAATTTCAGCCAGTTTGGTGGAATACCCCATCGAGAAAAGTGCTTGAAACAAGTTCTACTTAAGCTTAAAATCACTTTATTGGGTTCTTTGCCAACAATGAGGTGGGACTGTTAACCGATTATATCGTTAAGTTCTTCGGGTTAATAAATTCGAGTAAATAGCAGATTGCAACCATCCTCCCCCTTTTTGCCCCGCAATTAATTCGGGGGCTTGTAAAATGGCGCATTTCGTGGCGGAAGGGAAGTTATTGGCCCAAGCTTTCGCGAGAAGAAGACCCGGTCGAAGGACCTCGGGGATTCACTAATTAAAGTTCCCTCGGGGAACATTTAGCGTTGGAAAATTTATATGCGGCGACTCGTGGTGGACGATCGCGCGTCCACCGTGTAATTCGTTTCGTTCGCCGAAAGGTCGGATTAATGGCCGAGCGATTAAGCCGGCTAAAAAGGTAACTCGGTTAACCAATGCGAGACGATCTGCGTGTCCGAAGCGGTTAATCTAGCGAGGGTAACGAGTCTATACGGACGATCGACTGCGAGATTTATTGAATTTCACGTACTGAGGAAAATGGATGGTTAATCAAACGCGCCGTTGGCAGATCAAGGGGGACAAAAAAAATAAACGCGATGGAATTTTACATACGCGACGAGTGGACCTTTCTCCCGAATTAAACGATTAAATTTAATCCAATTGCCCGGTTAACTGCGGCACCAACTGCAGACATTGTTCCGCCGAGCAATACTGTCGCGATGGGAAAGAAAGGAAAAAAAGAGCTGAAAATATTCCGCGCAGCCATTTTGGCCATCAAAAATTCTTGAATTTCCGAGCTCTCGTCAATATTCATCGGGAATTTTATTCCATCCCTTCTGGGGATTTTATACGGTGATTCCCCGGTCTACGATTCGGGATTTTAGAGGGAGAGACAGAGAGAATGGTAAACCGTAACCTGGTTTTCCAGTCGAGAGTCGTTTTAATATTTAGGCGGGGCGAAACCGTGGAAGGAGGGCCAAGAGAACGGCTGCTCCGAATTTGTCAGAAGCTTGACACTCGTCCAGGGGCCCGATTCTCGAGTTCATACGGATGTTTCTCGCATTCGAATAGATTCGCATGAAAAATTTCCCATACGTAGATTTGCATGAAAAATCTCTCATACGAATAGATTCGCATGAACAATTTTTCGCATGAAAAATTTCGCATACGAGTAGATTCACATGAAAAATTTCACGTACGAATAGATTCGCATGAAAAGTTTCGCATGCGAATAGATTCGTATGAAAAATTTCGCATGCGAATAGATTCGCATGAAAAATTTCCCATACGTAGATTTGCATGAAAAATTTCCTATACAAATACATTCGCATAAAAAATTTCGCGTACGAATAGATTCGCATGAAAAATTTCGCATGCGATGTAATTTAATAAAGTTGATTGTGTACAGTCCAAAATCATGTTCCAGGCTTCCAAGGACCTTAAGGTGATATGAAAGGCGCGGAGAAACT